GTCAGAGATGCATCTCAGAGATAAAACATCAATCTTAGATAGCTTCAGGACAGGGAGGAGCAGGAAAGATAACGAGAGAAATAACTGGATAGATTTCAGATTTTAAAATAGCATCGTGTGCGTGTGCACAGTACGTGCCCTCATGGGTGGGTGCTTTCGCATGTGCATAGAGGTCAGGAAAGGGTATCTGTTGTCCTCCTCTCTATCTTTCCGCCTCTTTCTTTCAGGCAGGATCTCTATCTGAATGTAGAGCTGGCATTTCCTCAACTCGGATGGAAACTAGCAAACCCCAGAGATTCTTTTGTCTTCTTCTGCCTTGAAACTAGAATTCAGGCAGGCAGGAGACACTGGGCTTGGGTGGGTACTGGAATTCGAAATTTGGTTCTCATGATTGTGTAACCTGAGCCATCTTTCCAGCCTTAGAGTTTAGATTTTTTTGGCCAAAGTGGATCTTGTTAAAGTGTTGAGGGCACAGTCTGTGGACAGAAGAATAAGAGATATGGTCAGGTCCTTAATCCTCTTAAGTGGTTGTCATGATCAGATGTTTTTATGTTTATTACATAGACACTGTCAGCACAGTGGCAAAATGTACTGCTCTCTGTGTCCTTCACCTACTACATAGCTGTAAGTTTTATTTTTTAAATGTGAGCTTTACTTAAAAATGCTCTTGATTTTGGCTGGTGACACATGTCTCACTAGGGGAGCACTTGCTTATCAGACATGAGCCCACTCCTCTAAACTGAAGAAAAAATGAAATTAAAAGGAAGGACATGACAGCCCCTAGGTAAGGTGGAGGAAGAGGTTTATTGTAGATGTGAGGGAGAACAAGCCCCGGGCAGAGACATCTGGAAGAGTCCAGAGTCAGAGTCTGAGCCACGTAGAAACAGAGGGGAGAGAAGGGGAGAGCCAGGACAATGAACGGTGCATAAGAAAGAGCAGGCTAACCAAAATGATTGGATTATATAGGGAAGGGCAACTTGGGGGGGGGGGCGCCCAGCATCTGGGCTGGAGAGTTCAGGGTAGGGTGCAGGGTATGTATGTCCCCCATACGAGGTAACTAGCAGGGACTGAGGGATGCTGGGAGAACCTTTGCCAGGTCAGTTTTGATATGCTAAATAGGCACCTCAGTCATTGAGACTTAACAAAAATTACCCAACACGAATTGACGGAGATGAAGTGAAAATGAGTATATTATCAGATCTCCAGCTGTGATGACATGTCTTTGAATATGATGTGTCATGACGAGATGAGGCATAGCTTTAGAATGCTACTTGGGTAAATTACAGCCACCTCCAAGAAATCAGTCACCTCCAGGCAGAGTGCTCTTGCAGGTGTTTGAAGAAGTGGGACAGCTGCTTGATTTGGAGCACCATTTTAATGTTAAGATGATTGACAGCTTGTGGTTGTTCTGAGACATTTTTGTAGCTATTTCTTGAAAGTTATTATGAAGGCAAACTACTAACATAATTTGTGCCAATAATAAAATTCAAACTTAAAATTTAGTTACTTTTGAAGCAGGGTCTGTCTACCTACATAGGTCTCTGACTGTCCTAGAATTCTCTTTGTAGATCAGGCTGACCTGGAACTCACAGAAATCCGCCTGCCTCCGCATCCCCAGTGTTGGAATTAAAGGCATGCGCCTGTAGCCCAGTTGGCTACAGGCATTTGTAGCTCAGAGCTTAGGAAAGACACACATTTGGCAGGGATCATATTTGAGTAGTATTCAGAGTTCACAGATTTACTGAGATCTTCCAAACTGCGACCGTTTCTTATGCTTTATTAAATAAACAAGCAAAACCAAAGCCATAGACTGATACGACAAGAAAGTGTAGTTGTTTGTAAGAGAAGTTTCCAGTTTTGGAATAATCCAGTGTTTGGTAGAGAGTAATGGTAGCTGTGAAAAAGTTCATAGGAAAGAGGAGAGATGGTTTAAGATCAACTAAAGGCCCAGTGGAGTCCACACTGCTTTCGTCAGTAGTGTGGAATGCCATCGAGGCTAGTGAGGGTCTCGTCTTACTGAAGCTCATCTTCCCCTCTATATGGGTTTGCAGTAGTTGTAAACTGAACTTTTTACTTGTTATATTATCTTTGAAACATAATGAACTCTATTTATTTTTTGGCTGATTTGGAACTCACTATGTAGAACAGGCTGAAGGTCTTCCTGCCTCTGTCTCCAGAGTGCTGAGATTAAAGACCTGTACTTCCCCATACTGGCTGGATAGTGAAGTTCTTTCTCCTCTCAGCAATCCTTTGCTCTGACAGTAATCCTCCATCACCCACCAACCTTAATTTGAAATTATGTAAAAGATGTGCTGCTTATTTTGCATTTTGATGTGTTATTTTCCTTCTCTGGCTCCCATTTAAACCTTGTTAATTTTTCCTGCTCATCATTTAAAATGTAACTCAATGAGCATCTTCTAATTTTCTTTTGGGCTTAAAGATTAACTACAAATTAGTTGAATTTGGCAATTTTTTTCATTATTGACTTTATACTTAGTATCAATAATCACTTCATGTCATTGTGACAAGCTCATATGTATTCCTTTTTTAAATATCCGCTCAGCTTCCTACTTATGCCAGACATTGAACCAAGCAATAGAAATGCAGTAGACAATATAGGCACCTGAAATCTAGCCTTTGTAACCTAGAAGTTCAAATATGTGTTAAATATATTTCACGTATTAATATGTGTTTTACTTCAGTTATGCTGCTGAAATATATAATAAAAATACACAATAGCCAGAGAGCTGACTAAGTGAATAAGGTACCTGTCACACATGCATGGAGACCTGCATTCAGATCCCCAGAGTTCAGATAATCCCAGAGATCTCACAGCAAGGGGTGGGAGGCAGGAAAAAGCTCTGGCTAACTAACTTGACAAACACCTTGTCTCAAACAAGATAGACAGGGGTCTCACACCCAAGGTTGTCCTCTGATCTCCACAGACTTAATGTGGTCCACACAGACCCGTGCTCATAGACAAGAACATGCATGTACATGCACAGTGAGCACAATGACAAAGCACCCAGTGAACCCACTAAACCATGTTAGACCTGAGGAAAGAGTATGTCACTTTTTGTTTCTTTTGCTTGGGTGCTGAAGCTTATGCATATCATAGGGATTTTTATTTTCAGGTGGTCGGTTGTTTGTCGGCAGGTTATTTGATTAGGTGACCTTAGGTTTTTCAGTTCTGAGGTTTTTTTTTTTTTGTCTTTTTCTCCTACTTGCGTTTACTTAGTTGCTGTCACTTACCAGTGTGTATGGTAAGAACACTTTAGTGTAGCGTAGTAGGATTTTTCAGTGTTTTCCTGGATCGGTCAAGCTGTGGGATAATAAAAGTATTACATTAATAATACTTTTCAGTATTAAATAATCTCAAATTTAAAAAAGATACTGTTTGGGCTTTCTGGTTTGCTAATATTTACTCTGACTCTCAGACAGAATTTAATATAACAAAATGTATAGCCCAGTCTGGCCGGGAACGCATAGTGATCCTCCTGCCTCAGCTTCCCAAGTGCTAGGCATCACCATGCCTGACTCTCGAGATTTTGTAGTCAGCTGGGTATGATGGCACACACCTTTGAACCCAGCAGTCTAGAGGCAGAGGCAGGTAGGTCTCTTTGAGTTTTAGACCAGCTTGGTCTGCATATTAAGTTCAAGAACTGCTGTCAGGGTTTCTGTCCTGCCCGATTCCCGCAATCGTTAAGTTCCAAAGAAATTACACAGAGGTCTACATTAGTTATAAACTGATTGGCCCATTAGCTCAGACTTCTTATTAACTCTTATAACTTGTATTAGCCCATTATTCTTATCTGTGTTAGCCATGTGGCTCGATACCTTATTCGGCTGGGCAGTCATATCTTGCTTCTTCTGTGACTGGGCCAGGACTGCAGAGGAATGGGCTTCCTTCTTCCCAGAATTTTCCTGTTCCCATTGACCCACCTCTACTTCCTGTCTGGTTGTCCTGCCTATACTTCCTGCCTAGCTACTGACCAATCAGCGTTTATTTAAAATACAATTGAAAGAATACAGACCATTGTCCCACAGCACAGAACAACCAAGGCTAGTAGAGAGACCTTGTCTCAGACCCCCAAATTATTTTATAATAAAGCCCTGTTAGTTAATACTATAGTTTTGCATTTTGTATGGCAGTAGCTATGCACATTGAACACCCCAGTGTAGGTAAGTCAGGTACTCAGTGACAGGAGGGTTAAGCATAGAGAAATGAGTCAACAGAAACAGATGCTCAGCTGAAGTAGACAATTCGGGATTCTCTGCTTTGCAGAGGATGTGATGGTGATCTGATAAACCCTATATAAATTAGGGCATATGTATTTCAAGCCATTTATATAGCTTCGTATAACCTACACATAATCCTCTCTTATACTCTCAGTCATTCTGACAGCTCTCACATCTAATGAACTTTCTGCAAAGAGCTGTTTAAGAGGTAACGCCAGCCAAGAAGTATCTATATGTGCTCTGAACAGATATCGCCCTATGAATAGAGTGCTGATTGTGTACTGAGTCACTTGACACAACACAGGATGAGAGAGCCGCAGTGCGGGTGGTGAAGGGCACTCTTTAAAAAGACTACAATTGGGTGTCCATAAGGAAAAACATTTTTTTTTTTTTACATAACATAATCCCAGACATTTAGCCGTCTAAATGCACCTGACATTTGAAAATACCGTCAAGGGAACTTAAAGGAGGGAACCGATTCATGAGTAGTTTATAAGACATTTATCAGGGAGAAGACAGAAAGGAAGAAGGCCTCTCAAGCGTGGGATTCTGTCCACCTACATGGAAATGGTGAGACAGTGTATGTACATGGACAAACAGAGTTTGGACTTAGCAAGTGTCAGAAATGGAAGCGGAGGGTGTCCTCCTTGCTCTGCAGCACCCTGCGGGTCTGTCCTCTATGGGTGCATGTGTCAGGCCTCTGGAAGGGGCATGAATTGGTAATGACTGCAGGATTTAAGTGTCAACTTTCCATTTTGCAGGATTCTGAAGTCCCGGTTGAGTCAGACAATGGATGAACAACCACAAGGAATGCAAGGGCCGCCTGTTCCTCAGTTCCAGCCACAGGTAAGTTAATTAAAGTGGGATACGTTTATCTATCTCTCTGTTACAGGTATGAGAAGATTTACAGCTGCAGTCAAGTAGCTGCAAAATGCTCATCTCCAATTTCCAAGTTGTAGTCAGAATTACTGGCTTCCGGGTGTTTTATACTGCTTAGCTTTCATAGGACATGCTGGGAGGCCAGTTCTTGCTGCCGATTTCATCTTGGTGACTTGACTCTGCTGGTTACTACTAGACTTAGGAAGAGAGGAAAAGGCAAGTTTGGGGGTGTCTCTGCATTTTTGTGCCCACTTCTACTTTGGCTCACTGCTCTTGACTTCCCTTAACCCCCAGTCTCTCTGGTAATGTTTCTTTTGTTATGTTATTCCCTATTTTTTGTAATGTAAAATGAAGTAGCTAGCATGTCAGGTAAAACAATGTGTCCATACTATTGAAATTCAAGGCGGAGTTTCGCCTCCCTTGTTGTTAAGGCGTCCTGCAGAGCCCAAGCTGCGTGAGCTGCTTAAAATAATAGCGGCACTTTTGGAGGCAGCCCCTCGTCATCATTATTATTTCTCACACAGGCTGTGGTATTCGAGAGGTCTTCTCCAGCAGGCCTCACACATGGTCTGCTGGCATTCCCTCAGTTTGGCTCGGAGGTTATTCTCAGCTCTGAGTACTTGGTAGGAGTTCCTCAAGTGAGATTGTAGTGGAGTGGGTTTGGGCTAGTGATAAGGAGAAGCCAGTGGCATTGTCTCCTCCGACTTCTCTATGCAGTGTTCACTGAATATCAAAGCTAGTACGTGTGGTGCCCACATTGGTCGCCAAACTTGCTGAATCTGTAGTTTCCTGTTCTAATGCATCTGTTGCCTCCTCCCAGGAGCAGGGCTCAGAAATACCACCTACAGAAGACTGCCATCGTGACTCTGTGAAGTCACTCCTTTTTGACCCCCCCCTTCTGCTTTCTCGTTTTTAAAAACGGGTTCATCCTTCCAGAACCATTTAAAGTGTGGCACCACCATACGGCTGTCAGATCTCCTGGTCTGCTTCTGGAAACTTGATTGTCGTTCTCGGTCTTTCTTCCATGTCTGCTGCATCTTAGTTATGTTTGTTAACTTTTCTCATAGAGGGATTTTCCTTCTCTCTCCTTATTAAGCTAAGATCTCGTGGGAAAAGATACATCACTTTGGATACTCTGTGGAACTCTATGTTTTACATGTGGCAGAACTGGCTCAGCTAGATACAGAGTTGAAACCCAGCAGGATGTCCTTTAAAGGACTATTTGAATTAGTTCTTAATATACTTTTACATGGCATTGTTTTGGTTGGTGTTCTTGAATTTTCTGTGTTAAGAAAAGCCATGTAGAGGAAGGACACATTTGCTTTCAGGATTGGCTTTATCCAGTCCACTTTGTAACGGTCTTAAGCTCCACGATCCAGCTTGTTGTAAGTAAACTAGTAGGTACACCCAGCTCTATGCCATCTCAAACCTCTGGTGAGGCACCATTGTTTTGTATTACTCCGTTCCTCGCAAAAATAATAAAAGAACACCTCTAAAAATTAGGCAGTTCATGTTGTGATTTTGAAGTTCACAGTTTTGACTGTTGGCTGTGCTTCAAAGAAAAAAAAAATCACTTTTTTTTCCTTTGCCTCCCACTGACTCACCAAGCAGGAAAGGTCGGGGTGGCAGTAGGAGGCAAAAATGAAAGTAAGAGTTTCTTATGAGGCACTGGGCTGCCACACAGTCTAAATTTCAAAATCATAGAAACGGTTCTGCATCTCTTTTCACACTGTTCCTTTCGTTTCTGCCTCCTGCTGCTGCCCCTGTGTGGTTGGACCGCTTTCCCTGTTGGAAATAGGCAAGTGTCATGCCAGGCTCTGGCTGCCTTGTGGCATGTGGGGGAGGGGAGAGCTTTCCATTTCCCTCTTCCCTGCCTCAGACTGGCGGTGTGAGACGGTGAAAGAAAGGTTGCCTGACAAGAGCTTATAGGCGCTATTGCTTATTAAGTCTTTGGGAAATGTTCCCGCTCTCGGTGGCATTTTAAAAGTCTGGGAAGGGCAGCCTCAGCCCAGGGTTGACAACCCTCTTTGTTTTGTTCCACACCATTGGCCTGAATAATGGGGGTGATGTGGCAACATATGGTTAGCCGGCGACTCCTTTACTTTTGTAATGCTAATGGAGTGTGGCCATAAACCACAACCTAAAGAAGTCAGACACCAATTCTGATGGCATGATAAACAGCCTGTCTTCTTAGCACGGCTTTCCTTTCCCTTGTTGAGATGAGCTCGTAAACCCATACTGAGCCTATAACCTGTGCTCTCACTTCAGTACAGTATGAATCCCTCTGTGGTTAAGGTTTAGAATGTGGGATTTATTCCATTATTGCCGCTCTCATGAAGTTAGGGCAAATGTTTTCATTAGCGTTCCTGCTCTTTTCTATCTCCCCTGATACCATGCACTCCCACCCAGAGAGCAGTGAGAACATTTGACTCAATGCTCCCGTATTTCAGCCCTCAAGTCTCTCCTTGTCCTTTTCCTCCTTTAATTCATACTGCATAGGTAATGGGGGCGGTGCAAGTAAGATAGCCCAGGACGATTAATTTTAAAGTGGAAATTTATAGTTCCTTTTTAGTAGAGGTTCATGACAATGTGTGACTATTTTTGTTTTTAGTTTTTAAGTGAGGAGGGTTATGATGCATATCTACTTGATAACCTAAAATTAATTCTGTAACAGCTATCAGTGTTAATTAATCTAAGAATTTCTAAGATTAATTAGATACTGATCAGAGGTTTGAGTTCTGGGGCTTTCTGCTTTTATTTTTTACAATTTGAAATATTATAATATTTGGGCTGTTTGTGATTGAGAACATTTACCAGAGTTGCATGTAGAAAACAGCCCATACTTTTACAGGTTGCAGAGTATGAGGACACTATGTTAGAGCTGACTTCTTCAACTTCAACTTCAACAATGTGAGGTCGTCATTTTTTTTTTTTCAGTTTCCTGCCAGCACAAAGTAGTGTTCACTTAGGAATTGGTCAAGCGCTCCTTGCTGAGTGTTCAGGGTATGACAAGTATGATTGTGTGGGCAGGAGGAAGGTAGTACCCCCTGATGTCTCACAGCATAAGGGTGTGGTCTTGATCTGTATTGCCTTCTCTGTCTCTGTCTCTCTCTCTCTCTTTGTCTCTCTGTCTGTTTGTCTCTCTCTCTCTCTCTTTCCTTCCCTCCCTCCCTCCCCCCCTCCTTTTTCTTCCCTGAGCAGTAAGTCTCATTTTGCTTGTGTGGATGAATTGGGGCTGTGAAGGTGTTTGCTGTAGGGCATATTCTTTGGGAAGTCTTCCTAGCAGTTTAGGTGGTGTAGTCTCATCACAAGCGTTCAGTTCGTGGAGATTTTATAGCTGTAAGCACAAGGTGGTAAACTGCAACAGCAGCTTTGAGGAAAGACAATCTAGATGTGACTGAGCATCACAGCCCGATCCTTCAGTAAGGCTTCTTCGTGGTCACACCCCGAGTCTCCAGGCTTCTCACTGTCCCCCAAGCTCTCCCACCTTCTAGATCCTCTCCCCTCCCCACTGTCCTCCCAAGCTCTCCCACCTCCTAGATCCTCTCCCCTCCCACTGTTACCC